TCCTAAAGCGATTCTTTTCTCGCATGTGTTGCATTAGTATGTGTGTTTCATAAGTGAAAAAAGCGCATCTGCACTGGAAACTGATCGCCTATCGTTACTGTTAGGAGCAGTTTCACGGCGCACATACCACACTATGTACGACGAGAATAATACTGTATGTAAACGTGCCATTAATTTGCTGCTGTATGAGACAAAAATAAATTCTGGAGCCTTAGGGCTTCATTGTACCAAGAGTAATTGACTAGACTATTTTTGGTACTTTAGAAGCGTTTTTGCAGTGGTGCCATCCTTCAAGACCAACTGATTGAAAAAGAAATGCACGAGCAGAATGAGCAACAGGCGAAAAAATTTCGAGATATCAAAGTTCGCACGGAGCAAATTCGCAAGGATTACGAGAAACGACAAAGCCGAGTTGGTGCTTTTGTGCCTCAAACATATGGCCAAGGTGAGTAACCGGAAATAAAATAATTATACAGTTAAAAGGGCTTACTTTATTAATTAAATTTTTGCTAGAAATTCTCCCTTTATTTCTAGGTGCGCTGTACTAAAGTGTGCACCATGAGACAGTAGCTTCCGTCGCGCAAAAACTTTTTATCAGTGATCCCCCCAGAACGATGGTGACATCAGATATCTCTGGTCAGCGTGAGATTTCCTTTCAGTTAGGACCAGTGTCTCATAATTCTTGCGCACAGCGACGTATTTCTTCTGGCTCGAAATGACGCACAAAATAGCGTGCAGGCGAAAGTCGAAACCAAAACTCACTTCGTAACTAACTTTGTGTGAGGCTGGAGATGCTCGGAGGTCGCTCGATTGGTAGCACATTGCTAACATCACACATCCGCTGCCAAGACTGTTAGTGGTTCCCTCTTCCGAGAGCTGTTCATAAGCGAGCCTGTGGCAGTTTTCAGTCCTTTGCTTATGCCAGCACCAGTTTACTGTGGAAATGAATGTGCGAACTGTAAGGGTATTGGTTTTGACCGATTTGAACCCTCTGCCTTCACTGCCTGTAGCGCTTGCTGCTGTTTCGTGCTCGCTAACAGCGTTCAGGTACCACTAGAGAAATGCATTGTGATACAGGCACATCCGAACAACGTACTAGCCCCTCATTTCTTTGGATTGGACGACACATTATGCGGGCTATCTGTCGCTCCACACTGCGTGATTCAGAAATGCCACGATGCCACTTTAACAGTGTTCTCTGGTGAGAGGCTGCTGCTAATGAACTGCAGTGTTTAGCACTTGGACATCGTTTAAACTGGAAGCGTGTTGCAGTGATTTCAATTGTCATTTGTGCATGTCTATGAAATTTTAACTCGATTAATCCTGCCCAATCTCTCACCCTATCCTTCAAGTCATTGTTGGTCGTGCTGAAAGTCATTGTCCCGTGGAGACCATTTCATAAACAGTCAGTTGTCAGTTTCTAGTCGCAGTCCGTCTGCAGTTAGAATGGTGTAATTCCAGTGTTTTTTAATTATTACAGTGCATGATGATGCATTTTTTGTAGTCTCGTTTCTTCACCCGCAAGCTGGAGGGAGCGATTGTGAAGCAGCTGTAAAGAAATTTACGCTGTAAAAGCCATCACCTACTGCCCTGTTTAACATTATTATTAGTTACAAGAGCAAAATCACCTCTGCACTACTTGAGATTTTGCACTTTCTGCGAATTGAACGCCATTCTGCCGCCGAAAATTTCAAATCTGCTGCATTTGCTGCGCGCATTTTGCATATGTTTTTTTGTCTCTTCTCGTTTACTGTTTATGTGTGTATCAGATTAATGGAGCTGAAGCAACCAGTCAGTTTCGCATACGAATACAGAGACTTTCGAATTTCTGTATGGCATTCGTCGATGCCTTTTTTTATAACTTATTTTCTAGGTGTTTTTGCATATTTATGCAAATGCAGAAACGCATATTGACGAGAGGTTGTTGAAATGCATGTGTGTGTATGTGTTTCAATTTTGTCATCTATTTTCAACTCAGTAATCAGTGAAACTAGGATATTAGAATTTGTTTGGTGCACGGTCTTATAACATAAAATCAACTTTCATGTACCTCCTCGGCCTCATATATGAATGCTTGGAGGAAAAGTCACGAGAAACTTTTGGCGGAAAAGCGATTTCAGTAATTGAACAAGGAAGGGAATCGGAATTTTCCGAGTATTTGCTGTGCCATTTACGAACTGAAGATTTTAAATTCAGCTTAAATCCAGTGTTTAGATCTTGTTTGCGAGCAAAGATCATTTCGGGTCTCTGTTGGCATCCCTTTAGCGCGGCAACTCGACTGAATGAAAACTCTATTTTTGCATGGATATCTGCTTTCCATGCATAGGCCAAGCGCAAAGTCAGCATTTACTTAGAGTGTGCAGACATGTCAAAATTCCATTTGCAAAAATGTCTGCATCCTCCTGTCACATTAAGCAGACATGCTAGAAGGCTGAAATTTCACTGTGCTCTACAGTGCAACACCAGCGTCACAGCCAGCGGCTGTATCTTTTGACTGTGGATGGGACGGCCGGTCAGTGCACATATGAAACTGTGAAGCAGTGAACTGACTGTAACAGTTTATAGTGGTTCGCACCTCTCTCATATTGATGTGCGGTTTGCCAGAGTAGGTTATAGGTTACAGCTGAGAATGCAAAAGAAAACTACTGCGAGCATACAAAAAATTAGAGAAAAATATCTTTTTTGCATTTTTTTTTTCTAATAAGCCGTGTGAGTGTTGCTGCCTCGAAAATGTTCCTGCAAGCAGTTAGCGGTGTTGTTGGAATGTTTCATAAAGGATTAATTTTTCAAGACATTTTGCAGTCCAAAAGATTTTTTTTTTTGCGTTGATGTGGACTGCAGTGCGTTGAGATTAATCCAGACCCACGTTTCCTAGCCGAAATAGTGGAATTTTTTTGGTGTGTGTTTGTTTCTCGTCTGGGATATGTGCTGTGATGATTAATGTTTTGTTGGTGTGTGCAGGAACTGATTG